ATGATCTCTGAGCCCCCCCCCCCCCCCAATATTTTTTTTTGGAGGGGTGGGGCTGTGCCCCCCAATCCCCCTCCCCCCGGTTCCTAAGCCTAATTACAGTTCAATGAAGTCTACTTTTTGAAACTTAAAGGGATTGGGTAACTTTGTCTTAGGTTCTGAAACAAAAAATCCTGGAATGATAGTTAGGGCTAGTATTGATCGGAAATTGACCCAAATATCGGAGTACGGCTAGCTGCCCCAGGGCCTTGTCCTATATACGGATCAGAGAAAAAATACTTTAAACATATCGGGGGTACTTTTATGACTTTCGGGGGCTCTTTTTGGCATTTCGGGGGCTAATTCACCCCGAGCCCCCGTGTATTTTTCCTCCTGATACGGATAAGTGAGTGCCCTGATGGGTCTACTTCTAACTCGTGTTTTTAGCCCTTCTTTCTTTACTTTTTCCTTTCCTTTCTTTTTTCTTTCCTTTCCTTTCTCATTTTTTCAAAGAGGGGGGGGGGGTCCATCGCCCCCCGTATATCCGCGCCTGAGTGACACCCACACAAACTAATCTTATTTATTACCGAACAAAAAATGAAGAAAGAGCCCCTCGACACCATAGGTGTAAGTATTCAGCCAGTTCCTACCCCCCCCCCCCCCCACCAATATAAACTTTAAAAGTGATTTTTTTTTTCTTTCTAATTTGATACCAGTGATAGACAGAGGTTGCTAAAATGGCCTAATTTTCCGGGATTTTTCCTCGCTTTTTAGTAAATTATACTTTTTATGCGTTTGTTGGAGAATGACATATATCACAATTTACAGTCAGACAAGAAATGTGCTTATTTATTATTTAGAGGCCGACATGTCAGGTCCCGCGGAACGGCGGGCTTGGGGGCTCAAGCCCCCCCCCCCCCCCCTCCCACCCCCAACACTTTTGAAAAAGTATATTAAAGAGAATTAAATAGAAAGAAATAGAAAAGAAAGTATGCTCATGTAACCGTAATTAAATGCCCATACCCCTGAGCTAATTCCGGGGGCTCTGCCCCCTGGACCCCATCTTGGGCCCTAAGGCTGGCCCCTGGATGCTAATCTGACCTTAATTGTAATGCCTAAAACCCCTGCGCTTCCGGAGGCTCCGCCCCTTGGACCATACGCCAATAATTAGTGACCTGCCAGTGTCATGAATATGGTATTAAAATATGCTCATCTGACCGTAAGTACGAAGCCACGTACAATCGATTACAACAGTAATTGTGGGGCCGATATCACGAGTATGCCTTCATAGAATACAGGTTTTAAAGAAAATATTCACTTCTACTTTCAAAAGGACTGGCCCATTTGCTTTAAAAAAAAAATTAGAGAGTTATTATTATGTAATTTCTAGAAAAAATGCAAACCACATGATTTACAATGAGTCTAAATACATTGATTTGCCGAGTTTCTTCCTTTTATCAAATATACACGTAAAACAATGGGGGACAGACTGCGCGGATAGCAATCCGCACGGATCGTCCCTCGGACGATCCGTGCGAGCAGAAAACCCGCATATGTCCGACGGACAAACGAAACTGGTAGGACAAACGGCGCGGTCACACCGGTCGCGAATATTTTTTTTTTACACGCTAGCCTGGCCAGTTTAGCCGCAATACTCGTAAAAGTCAATTAAAAGGGTCCAGACTCTTTCTGGTGTTATTCATATCGCCCAATATTTTCTATCATATTCACACAATTGTTAATAAGAAACGAAATTCTATTCCAGATAATTATGAATTAAGAACTGTGTATTAGAAAGAATACAAGATGGAAAGGGTATTTAACAATATACACTGATGGGTCTAAACTAGAGGACAAAAGCACTGGATCTGGTTGTTATATACCAGAATTGGGCATAACAAGAAGGTTATCATTAATAAACATAATGAGGGCAGAATTAGTAGCGATAGTAATGGCCTTGGAGTGGCTTGATTGTAGAGGAACTTGTTGGTTGTTTTCTTGACAGATCCATTGTCAGCCATTCAGGCGCTAGAAATTAAGCAGCCAAAAGTTCAAAATACCCTTATTGCTGATATTATATACACAATTAAAATACTAAAAATGTCATACATAGAGATAAACTTTGAATTGATACCTTCCCATCAGTGCGGTGTTCGAGGAAACAGCAGACAATCTCCAAACTTAACTATAGCTAGGAGCGCGCGCAGAAAGAAAACCTAGAACTAGAAATGTTATACATAAAGGAAGCTGACAAACCACGTGTATCTGGCAATTTCAATGGGAGTCTTCATTAGGCGAATTCAGCCAAATGTCACAAAAACAAAAAATATTCATCGTTTTTTCTACATCAGTTGAGACTAGGGAAATGCAAATTAAATTATTATCAGCACATTATTAATCAACATGAAGATATGTATTGTAACGTTTCAGAAACTATAGAGCATTTTTTAAACTAAAATGCAAGAAATATGAAAGAGAAAGAAGGATATATATGCAAAGACGATTGAAATGTACGTTAGATTTAGTAAAATTATTAGGGAATTTATCGGATTTTAGAGTCCTCTTAGATTATATTAAAGCTACAAACAGATTTGAAATGTTCGTATAGATCTAGTGCGTTTTCCTCTATGAGTGTATATATGATTATGATTATGATTGAAATGTTTGAATATATCATCAGTATTAAAATGATAAGTATAGCTAGGCCTATGACATCCTTGATTAAAATGCACGACTTATGGTGAAGGGAAATTAAATGTAATTAATCTTGCACAGTAGCACTTCGCTGATCGAGACAGGTGGGCCAACTCTGAAGTCGAAAACAGGAGTCTGGAAAGACAGACCCCCCCCCCCCCCCCAGTGGCGTACCTGGGGTACTCCGTCAGGGGGGCAAGCGACAGAAACAAACAAAAAAGGCGATGCTAATTTTCACTTCTGGCGAGCGAGCGAGCAAAAAAAAATCTTTAAGTAACGTTTGGTATATAAACTGGTATTGTTGCAAGTTGGGGCTGGGAACATTCACTTGTTAGCGACGTTAATTTCATTTTTTTGCAAACGAGTGTAGCGAGCAAGAAAAAAAATAACTTCTTTTTTAATAATTGCCACTTAAACTTGGTTCAATTGTCCCATGCCGGGCGCGGGAACAATTATGTTTAGGGTGAAGTTATACCCATTTTAGCTAGCGAGCGAAAATACATCTTTCTCTCAATGAATTGCTATATACAATTTGTTTCATTGTTGCAGGTAGGGGGCGGGCACAATCGTGTTTAAGGTAATGTCAATCCCATTTTGGCGGGCAGGCAACCCCCTACATTTCTCTTTTTAATGATATTGTAGCAGGTTAATAGTGGTGGGCACATAATTCCACGAGCTAGCGAGCGTAGCGAGTGAAAAAAAAAAACTTTTCTTTTATAGGGAAAATATGGTACATAAAAATTGGGTTCATTGTTCCATGTCAGGGACGTGATTATTAAAAGCGGTGTTATTTCTATTTTGGCGAGCGAGCGTAGCGAGCGAGCAAAAAAAAAATCACTTCTCTTTTATAGGGAAAATATGGTACATAAATCTTGGGTTCATTGTTCCATGTCAGGGACGTGGTAATTAAAAGCGGTGTTATTTCTATTTTGGCGAGCGAGCGTAGCGAGCGAGCAAAAAAAATCACTTCTCTTTTATAGGGAAAATATGGTATATAAACTTGGGTTCATTGTTCCATGTCAGGGACGTGATTATTAAAAGCGGTGTTATTTCTATTTTGGCGAGCGAGCGTAGCGAGCGAGCAAAATTTTTGTAATGATAATTGGTTCATAAATTTCAGATTTTTTTGTTGCAGGGCAGGGCTTACACAATCATGTCTAAGGTGATGTTAATTCCATTTTGGCGAGCACGAGCACACCAAAACTTCTTTGAATAACGTTTGGTACATAATTATTAACTGGTTATTGCAGGTTGGGGCGGGCACGTTAGCGGTGTCAATTCCATTTTGGCGAGCGAGCATAGCGAGCAAGCAAAAAAAATAAATTCTCTTTTAATAGAAATTAATAAATAAACTTGTTTTTATTGGTGCAGGTCAGGATGGACGCAATCGCGTTTAACGCGATTCAATTCCTTTTATTCGCGAGCGTGTGTAGCGAGCGAGAAAAATGAATTAGTCTCTTTTAGTAACATTTGGTACATAATTGTGTGTTATTGTTGCCATGGTTGCAGGTCGGGGCCCGTCGGGGCAGGCACAATTGTATTCTAGGCAATACTAACCCTTTTCTTTTTTCAGGGGGACGAGCAAGTGAAAACATTTAATACAAAATAGGCTAGCAAGCAGTTCGCGCCAGCGAAGAGTTTCAAATTTGTTATATCACTTATATTTTCCTATTTTCATTTGTTTTCATTTTTCAGGGCCGTATGCGGAATATTTTTCTGGTGGGGGAGGGGGAAAGATGCGTTAAAAGTTTTCGAAGAATTTCAAAAGCAAAAGGAGTGAAGGGAGTTCGAGCGACCGAACTGGTCATGAGGGTACTTTTGCATTTTCAAAAGTAGAATTGAAGGATTTGGTATAGGCCTACACTACATTTTCAGGAAAAAAACTGTACGTTTTCAATATATCTGGGGTCAACTGCCCCCCCCCCCTGGTGCGTACGGCCATGGTCTTTTTTTTTTTTTTAATTTCCCCATTTTTATTCCTTTCCTTTTCTTTTCCCTTTTTCTTCCTTTTCTCTTCTTCTTCCCTTTTTCTTTCCTTTTTTTCCTTTTTTCTCTTTCTTTCCTTTTTTCTTCCCTTTTCCTTTTTTCTTTTTCTTTCCTTTTCCTTTCTTTTCTTTTCTTTCCCCTTTTTCTTTTTTTCTCCTGGAGCCCGTCAGGGGGGGCACTCTGCCCCCCCTGCCCCCCCCCATAGGTACGCCAGTGCCCCCCCCCCCCCCCCCCCCCATCAGTAAAAGTGAGCCATGAGATCAAGTTCGAAAAGATGAATGCACCAAACAGAAGGAACTCCGTGTATGGCGCAGATAATCTGTCAAGATTGAAGAGCGCCATCTAAGCCAACAACAACAACATAGATCAAGACCTACTGCAAAATGTCGGCGACGAAAACCCTCTCTCACGCTCAACGAGTGTTGAGATTGTATAAAAGATCGGTGCGACACATGGAATCATGGATACCTGAAAGGTAGTTAGATCATTTTATGTCCCTCCACTTTTATATATTATTCACAACGATTAAGGGCATTACAAGATCAACTTAAGTAGACCTATGGTCTAGTCTAAGTGCAATGAGATTGACAGTGCACTCGAGTGAATAGAATTCAGGAAGGCAAGATCTAGCCCACACATACTTACTATCAATGATAGTATGTGTGGGCTAGATAGTATCATCAGTCTATCCTGGCTGTTTATTAAAAGCTGTGATATTGATTCTCAACATTTCAAACACCACTGTAAAAAAATCAACTGATTTCACTAAATATCGGTACTTAAGTGACGATTTATGACACCTAAATAGCAATAAAATACAATGTTTTCAACTTTCCGATGTTAGAAAAAATAATTTTAAAGTGACTCGGTAACATTGTTGAAGGTTGATGAAACAAATTGCTTAATTTTTGTATAAAATGTTACTTAGGGTCTACTATATTCCTAATACTGTACTAACCCTCTGACATGCAAAAAATCTAATCCTGAACAAATTCTCAAACCACAATCTATGGTTTTCTTTGAAGACGTCGATGTACGACACCCTCTAACAGTGATTAACAGTAAATTCTCCCAACCATTTTTCCATGAAAAAAAGACATAAAACAGGCCATAAAAAATCTGTCAGCACTTAAATGTCTGGAATGGAATGTAGAGCCATTTTATTGCTTTGTGAATTGTGACGATTTACATTAACCTAAAATGTAATTAAATTGTAATAATATAGATCTAGTTAAGAGAATTAAGGAATCGATCAGATCAGTTTTTCCCAAACTGTACCATGAATAATGGTCCGTTTTCACTCAAATTTTCAGATTATCTTTAATTGTACATCTTGCATTGAAGTCACTACTGTAGCACCACTATCTCTCATCTGAACAATGTTACCAAGTCCCTTCAAAATTCAAATTGTGTGAGTCCACTCACGTCACTCCACTGTCAAACTTACCGATCAGCCGCATCAGCATGATTGTGTGCATCTGTGTGTTCTTCTTCTTCTTCCTGAAAAGTGCAGGCTTCATGAAATGAAGATTAACGCACTGTGGGATGATGCGCGCACAGTCAATAGTACACTGATATGCACATTGTTTAGTGATGTGCGGTTAAACTAATAATAAAAAGTAGCCTGTCTGCTTGCTAGACGGTGCCATCCCTCAAGTAAACAGACTTTTAGTTTTTTCATGTGTACAAAGTCTATGGCAAAACAGAATTTACGTTTTTCAGCCCATCTAAAACAGAATTCCAGATTTTCTGAAACGGAAAAGGCTATTTTTTTAAATGGAAAATCAGTGTCCCTACAGAGGGGATGATCAAAAACCACAGAGGTTTATCATGGATCATCCCCTGCTTAAAATCACAATATTAAAAATTTAAATTACAATAATAACTAGATTTGTAATACTTGATTGGAACAAGTATAGGTGGGCTGGTCCAACTAAAATTTTAAACAAAATAAAGGGCACATTTGAGATAGCTTTTTGTCTCAGCTACATCATACTCAAAGTTCAGCGTAAACGAAGCTAAAACGACGGAGATATTGCTCGCGAAAGACGGGAATGTAGAATCCAGTTTTGAGAAAAATTCATGTCCCATAGAGAATACACGCAAAAAGTGAAAAATTGACATGCCTCTTTTAATCGCAAAAATATGCCATGATTCCTTTGTCAAAATGAAAAATGTTGTTAACTGCATTTGTAATGAATTGTGTCAGCTAGAACATATCGAAGTTTGGAAGAAAATTGATCAATATTTACAGAGATACAATCAATTTTCCAAAAATATGCTGATGTCATAATATGCAAATTGAAATTTTGAGTTCAGAGGCCATTATGATGTCGTCATGAGTTAATTGAGGGTCAAATGAGACATGAAATCATATCTCCGATTCATACTCTATCAACATATGAAAAAAATAGGGGTCACCTTACAATACATCCTAAAGAGCTACAATGGATTTTGTATGGGTTTTGACTCACAAGTTAAACGGAATTGAAAATAACTGTGATGTTTGATTCGGTTTATTGCAATAAAAGAACATGTAGCTGGGAAGCTGAAGTTGCTTAATTTACAAAGTCAATGTACAACACAATAAACGATCAAAATATGAATGACTAAAACTTATGCCCATAAATCATGCATAATGAATCAAAATGAAACTCTCAAATATTACATCAAAATCTAAATATATTACAAATATTTAAAACATGAAAAAACTTTGTGTCATCAAAGGTTACAAAGAAAGGAATGAAAGAGACAGAACTAGAAAATAGGAGGAGAAGTAAGAAGAAGAAATAAAGAAAACTTAATCAGAGAATATACGACAGATTGGAGGAGAGGGTAGAGGAGGACAGATTAGAAAATGAAAAGTAGAAAGAGAAGAGAATGGTACAGTCTTGAGGTATGTTTTCAAGTTTTTCAAGTGCACCTGAAGTTGAAGTATGATTTTGTTTAAATGTTACAGCACTTATATAAATGAGTGTATAACTATTCTTTTTTCAGGCTTTTGTTTTGGTGAATTTGGTTGTGAACCAAAATGATATTTCTCTCTCACATGTAACCTGTGCACGCTGCATGCATGCACCATACACATGAAGTATGTAAGTCCCGTAAGTGGCTCAAAATTACATCCAAGGGGCTCTCATCAGGAAAATTGGGGGTATTGGCGATAACGAGAACTGCCTAATGTGCTGAGTGCCTTTATAAAAATTCTTAATGACATATAAAATTTGTGAAAGTTTTCACACTATTAGGCCGTTAAAAAAAAGATGTTGTATTGCCCTTTGCGGCCGACCCCAAAAATCTTGAAATCTACGGTCGGCTGTTTAGAGATATGTTTTTTTTTTCTTTACAGTTTTTTAGAAAAAAAATGTATAGAGTACCGAAGCTGTGACGTCATAAAAATCTATTTTTAGAATTTCTCAGTGTTATATGCTCTGGCTCCTGACCATTAGGAGCCAGAGCATATAACACTGAGTTCCCATAGGACATATATTTATTTAGATGGTCATATCTCAGCCAATACTTGACATATTCAATTGGTTTTCGACATTTAGACATTATTTTTTATGCTCTTTCGGAAAATAAAGAAAAAATTGAGAAATTCTAAAAATGGATTTTTGATGACGTCAAACTTCACCACTCTATTAAGGCATTCAAAACTGAGAAATATCAGCCCAAAGAGGGAGTTGCGGGGGTAATGACAATTGCATGGCCCTCAGGAAGAACAACAATGATGCTAATGAAACTAGATCCCTGGGTAAACAAAACTATCAACAGCATTATTATTATTATTGTTATTATTTTTCTGTTATTCTAAATCGTTGAATTTATCCTCCTTGACCAATTCTGTTTTAATGTGTTTGCAGGCCAGCTTTTAGATATGAAGCAACAGTTCTTCGTGCAAGATTTGATGAACACAAAAATGAGAACGATATGAAGAAAGCTGCTCAGATATTACAAGCAGGAGAGGAAGAATTCTGGGAGAAGCAGCATCCACAACCATACATCTGTAAGTTGTTTTATCTTGCTTTTAAAATTGGTTTCAAAGGATGGGAGATACTCTAATGCAAACTATGTTTTGAACATAATGCAAACTAATTCATTTAAATGGCAAATTAGCAATGCTGCATCCATTGAATATATTGTTAAATATCATGTGTTCTGAAAATGTTGAAATGACATTATTGCCAGAGAATGTTAATGCTCTTATTTGTTCAGTTTTACATTTTTGTTTGCGTATTGTACATGGACATATACAGGAGTTAAATCTGGTCAGTTTATAGGTAACTTATTTATAAAAAGAGAAGGATTGGTAGCATTGGAAGAGTTTTGCATTTGTAAAATCAAAACCAGAAAATTTAAGGTATTTATACACAAATCCAAATATTTCAGAGAAGCATACAACTTTCAAAGGGTACTCTATTTTTTTTAGGAAGTCTGATTTCATTTGAGTGCACTTATTCTGTGTTTTCACACACATTTCTATCATTTTAGTTGGATTCCACAATATTTTTTAGTAATTAATATGCAAAAAAGTTCAAATTTATGATAATAGCAGAGCTGCCAACCATTCCGTTTTGCCGGAATTACTCTGTTTTTTCCTCCAAATTACGGTATTACGTTTTTTTTTTAATTGTCTTTTTTTTTTGTGGTTTTTTTACACACCACACATCGAACAACTGCCCTAAAATGGTGATTTGATCACAAATTCAATAGAAAACTAATTTTAAAACATACTTGAAGAGAATAATATTCTCAAAAAAGAATGAAATGCCGATAATACCAAAATAACCAAAACAAACATACCTGCTTGTATGGACAAAATAGCATGAGGAATGAACATTTCTGCATTGGAACTTTCGTTTTTATGAATTCCCTTTTTTTTGCCATCATGATTCCTTTTTTTGGTCGCACAAGGTTGGCAGCTCTGTAATAGTAATGAAGATTATACAAATTGATAAAGTCTAGGGTGTAGATTATCATGCACATTTTGATATTTTTCTTTGATTTTCTTTTATTGTTTTAATAGTCATTGACTCGTTTGGAGGAACCAGATATGAGCGTAACATCCCTGCTCCCGAATGGGTGAGTTTTTGGAGGAAAAATATGATAATTGGTGTTTCTATTTGTGTTTTTTTCAAGATGGAACTAAATTGTGTCTTTGAAAACTTTTTTTTTCTCTACATGATGTTAAAAAAAATAGCTATATTATTTATTTCAAAATATGCCATCCACTTACTTGTGTCATAAAATAAATGTTTCTTTATAAATATGACAAATTATAACGTTTCATGTGAAATATGTCAAGCAATAGTTTAAGCATGATGTTATCATCCATATGATCCACAGTGAAATCTTTGTATTTCATTTTCAAGAGTTTCTATTCAAATCAGGCCTGATAATCACCAGATTTTTTTGTTATTATTCACGATCTTACACTTATTTTCCCTAGTTTTCCCTTTTTTCCCCCTATTTTTCCCTATTTTCCCCTTTCTTTCCCAATTTGTTCCCAATTTTCTTACTCAAAAGGTGGGGAATGTTGTTAGATGCCATTTTTTTTCCTGAATCTTTTTTTTTTTAGTGCTCACTTTCACCCCTGTCAAATGTTGAATTGTACCAAGCTGTCATGTCCAGGGATTTTATTCATTACCACCCACCGACATTATTTTTGCTGGGTTTTTTTCTGTCATTGATCATTTCCCCTTGGTAAAGTTTATAGGGTGCCATCGACCAGATCCACTTCCACTGTTCTCACGACCTTCACTTCAAAATAAATAACTCTCTCATCACTAATGAGTATTTATCATTATAGTTCTTCTGATCATTATCTTTTATTTGTCTTATTTGACCAAGACAATTCCATGTTAAATCTACTGACGTATGAATGTACTGAGATGTTACTCAATGTCGAGTTGAAGATACAGAGGATGATGATGATGATGAACAGCATTTGTGTGGTGCCATATATATCTGTTTCAAAACACATTCAAAGGCGCGAGCTCCTCCAAAAAAAATAAATTTAAAATTTAAAATTTAAAATTTAAATGTCTGAAGGAAGATGTGAGTTTTGAGTGAAACTTTGAAGTGGTCCAGGTTGTCAATTTCGCGAATAGATGATGGGAGGGAATTCCACGGGCGAGGACCATTAGAGGCAAATGCCCGGTCTCCATATCCCTTGAGATGAGTAATATACAGTATGTTATGCGTTGTACCCTACCATGAGTGTTATTCCAAAATCAAATGCACATGTATTACCTAACATATTTTTCCAATATTTTTTGTTTCTTTCTGATGATAAGTATGAATTCCCTAACATTCAGATCTCATGATGAATTTATTTATACTCTTCTTTTGGTAGGTTCTCAACAAATGGCATCCGATTGAGAAGGCCCGTTACCCGTATTACTTTGCCAGACGAGAGAAGAGAATAGCAGAGGAACAAGCACGTTGGGACCAGCTGGTGGAGGAAGAAAGGCAGCTTATAGAACAAGGAAAACTGCCTCCTAAAGAAGCTCTTCCCTCGTGATCTACTCTCACCCACAAATATAGTTTTTAGAGTAAATTCAGTCGTGTGTTTATTGGACAAGGTTTTAATATTAACAGTATTTGATACTGCGAGATGAATGTCTGTTTATACAGCATGCCAATTTAAACAATATTACTTCATTTTCACTGTGTCATCTCTTTATCAACTAGGATCCATGTCTAGTTTATACCCACACAAACCTATGATAGCATGATAACATGAATCTCCTTTGTTCTTGGTTGGTTTCTTTGTGCATAATATGGGTGATAGGAATTCTATTTGATCTGCTTTATGGCATGAGATAAGCATTCTGTTGTCATGGACAAGTGACATTGGTTAACCTTCTGACTACTGAATTCTCACACTGTCCATAGGTTTAATACAGGAACAACCAGGTTCCAGTAGGCAATGGGTTTATACCCTGACCTTTGACATTGGCTTGGCCTTGATATTTGATTCCATGACATTAAGAATAAAGCTATACAACGGATGAAGTTATGCGATTGATGAAACAAACTTTTAGATTAATGACTGATTGAAACCTTGTCCTTGTTGTACAGAATGTGTGAGATTAAAGATGACAAAGAAAGAAATCAATTCATCAAATGTGATATTATGTGCGTTTGTATAAAGAGGACGGTCAAAAGATATAATATGTAATGATGGAAGATATTTTGTTAGTGCTGGGTAAATGTGATATGATGATGATAATGATGTGATGATGGTTAATGGGATTAATAAATCTGATGGCATTTTTTTATGAGGATGGTGATAATGATGAGGATAATATAATTATGATGATGATAGTGATGTGATGAGAATGATATGGTGATTAATGATTATAATAATGATGTGCGTAATGGTGATAATGATAGTTACAAGTTGAAAATGATGATGTGATTATGATGATGATGGTGAGGATGATGATAATGGTGATGATTATGATGATTATAATGGTGTGGTGATTATGATGATGTTGGACATGGTGATGATAATGATGGTGATATATAATGATGTGGTTATGATGATGAAGATGAAAATGATGTAGTGATTATGATATTAATGGTGATAATAAAGATGATTATAAGTTGACAATGATGATGGTGAGGATGATAATGGTGTGGTGATAATGATGGTGAGGATCCAATCCAAACCAAAAGATATTTGATATAGTGCCTTTTCCCTGCACACACTGCTCCACAATGTTTGGGCCACTTACAAACAAAAGTTGGTCACTTCTCTGAGATTAGTTAAGTATATTATGTAGGCTGGTAATGAAACAATTTCTAGCAGAATAGATGTGACTTGGGTAATTTCTTGAAGTGGTCAACAGATGAGGCTGTCTGCACAGCAGTAGCTAGCTGATTCCACAGTTTAGCAGCTACCGATGGGAAAGATAATTCACCAGCACGTGATGATGATGGTGAGGAAGGTGATAATGATGTGGTGATAATTTTTTTTCAATTTCAATTTATTTTCCATCTTTAAACAAAGAACAAATATAACATAGTATTGACACATTGTATTAAAATAACAATATAAACATAAACATGGAGGGATACCCTTAATAAGCAGGTTGCTTGTAGGCAGGGCCCCGGTATACAATATAAAGTTTACAACTTTGTTAGAGAAATATCTAAACATTTGAGAAAATTATGAAACAGCAAAATTATGATGAAGATAATGTTGATAATGATGAGGCTAATAATAATAATGATGCTGATAATAATGATAATGGTGATGATGATAGTGATGGGCGGATCCATGGGGAGGGGGGGGGGCCGAAACGACTGCCTCCCCCCCCCCCCCCCATTGGTGGCGCAAAATAGAGGAAGAAAAGAAGAGAAAACGGAAAGAAGAAGAGAGAAAAGGGAGAGGAGAAAAAAAAGAGAAAGAAAGAGAGAGAGAGAGACCAAATAAAAACGAGAAAGGAAGAGAGAAGACGGGTTAGAAAGGGAGAAAGTTACAAGGAAATGGCACTAAGTGAAAGTAACGACGAATAAGGAAAAACTGGGGGGGGGGGGGGCAGGGGCGTCGCTAGACTTTTTTTCAGTGGGGGGGGGGGGGGGGGGGGGTGTAGAGGCCAACGATTACCGACAAAACTAGCCACCAATAATTTTTACCGACAAAATTAAATGTCCCAATATCTACACATTTAACCCTATAAACCCTGGGCCGACGGCTAAATTGTTTTTCCAATGAACTATCTATAGTACTTGCGTATGCGCAAATTGTCATTTTCCTCGACGACATATATATACAAATTTTTTTCGCCAACTTAGTCCACATCACAGCTATATATTTTAATGCAGGCGCGTAACTAGGATCTTATTTTAGGGAGGGGCGGTATCAGTGGCGGATCCAGGGGGCCCGTGCCCCCTCCCCCCCCCCCCCTTGAGAAAAAAAATCATGTAAAAACACATGATTTTTACCTTTTTGGGGGGTTGGGCCCCCCCCCCCCCCTGGCGCTCAAGGGGGGGGGGGGGGGTTGCAAATTTTAAAATTTTCGAGCACCCCCCCCCCCCCAAAAAAAAAAAAAAATATGCTCACTACCCCAAATGTCCAGTAAAGGGGTACTTTTCGTGCGACAAAGTCCGGCCCGAGAATTGTAAAAAAAAAGGGGTGTATTAACTTTTCACACGGAGATTTCTTTAAAAAGTGGGTGTTTTTTCTTTTTTTCTCTCATCTCTTTGGACTCCCGAGAAATTTATTCCGATTTAGAGGGGGTACATTGAGCATTTTTCATGATTTAGGGGGGTCTCCAAGGGCTCGTTGTACCGTTGTCGACTCTTAATCTTTGTTTGATTGAAGTTTCCCCCCCTCCCGCGCGAAGCTAGGACGTTTTTCCTTAAATTATTAGAGAAAGAAGACGATTCGTTGTACTGTACTCGACTCTTAATCCTTGTCTGAATTCAGTCCCCCCCCCCCCCCCCTTCCGCGCGAAAGCTTAGACGTTTTGACGTTTCATTAAATTATTATAAAAAGAAGACGATTTGTTGTACCGTTTTTTACTCTTATCTTAATAAGCCCTAATCGTCTGAATTCGGTTTCCCCCTCTCGCGCGAAAGCTAGGACGTTTTCTATTAGAGAAAGAAGACGATTCGTTATACCGTTGGCGACTCTCAATCCTTGTCTGGATTCAGTTTCCCCTCATCCGCGCGAAGAGCGGATGCTTTGACGTTTCATTTAAAGGCACACTGTCCTACTTGTAGCTACTTGCTCCCTCTATATAGAAAACTTCCCCAATCGGCGCCTGTTGGTCCCCCATGATCCTCTTTTTCTTATGTTAAATGAGAGCTGAGTTAATGAGATAGCCACCTGTCACAGTGACCTCGCTGGCTCGCTGGGTGGTCTAATCCCTTTTAACTGAAGTAAAGCCTGCCTTTAATTATTATAGAAAGAAGACGATTCGCTATACCGTTCGCGACTCTTAACCCTAATTGTCTGAATCGTGGACAGGGGCGGCGATCCTGGGCCCGATTGGGGGAAATATAGCGGCTTTGGCGTTTTCTAGAATGCATAATTTCAGCATTCAAAATGGCAAAATCTCGCTTGGTCGCTACGCTCCCTCGCCCAATAACATCAAACTATGACACCCTTGCAACCCCTGTCTAAAATTGCCTAGTTTGTTTCAGTAAAAGCAAATACAAACGGTCGCTCAAAAGAATTTGGTTTAGTAATATACGTCTGCTACGTGTCATCACGGATAGCTTTCAGCCGAGCAAAACTGCATTGTTTACTAAATACTCCATTATAAGACAACTGGAAGGTAATTGAAATAGATGTTTGTATTTATCTAAGATTCTTACATAATATTAACATGCAGATACTTCAAAGTGAAAATGTACTATGAAGGTTTAATAGATCCTCTATTTTCGTATTTTCATGTTTCATAGGTTATAACTATTATTCGAATCTTAAATAATAGTATAGGGCCTCAATCAGAATAATACTTGCGCAGTAGCCTCTGATAACATCTGGGCTGTGTATATCCTATGGAGCGTTTTTAACTAAGATATTTCATCCCCAACAATGAAAAAGAATCGACGGCTTTGCTTCTTATAGTGGTTTGTAAAAAAGAGACTTATATTTGTATTGTATACATATGGAATACTGAGTAATATGAACACGTATTTTGTTAGCGAAACGAGAGTGATAATACATTCATGAATAGATAGGCCTATGTAAGAATATAAAGAAAGTGTTTAATATAATATTATGACAGTCATGAAACACACATAGTACCACAGGAGTTTAATTGTTCTGGATTTCCAAATAAATGGAAGTTCTCATTGAAATCATGGTTGCAGCACAAGCTGTTTCTATATGTACACTCCACAAGGATTCAAATTTCATTCCATAATACCCGTGGAATGGGGTTGCAGCCTCTCTTTCCCGAATAATTAAAAATTACCAACATTCGCCAAATAGTCTTAATAAAATATCTTATCTCGTATATTTTGGTGATAAATAACACTTTCACCACAAAAATATGCTCAATTTTTCGCTCGCCGAATTGTGAAACCAGCAAATTGATATTCGGGCAAGAGGCTTTAGCCCCCCCCCCCCCTGATGAAAATGTCAAATAATTTGCTAGCGCGTAATATGTATAACTTTAAAAAAGGGAGTGTTGATATCGATCGCGACGTGAGCCTGCCCCCTTTCCGTAGGTGCCTGATTGTAGGTGCTTCTGATATTACCTTGTCAGTATTGGTAAATTGGGTTGAAATAACGGTCTGCGCGATTTTCAAATTCCCCCCCCCCCCCCCCCCCCCCCCCCCCCCCCCCCCCCCCTCTATTGAAAAATCCTTGATCCGCGCCTGGAGGATGACTGTGTTAATGTGGAGATCGACAACTCGTCTCCAACTTTCGGCAAGCCATACTATTCTATGAATCAGCGCCCTCTGTCGTTCTGACCTGGGCATATAATACAGGTGGTTCTGGCAGAAGAAAAAATGAGCAAAACAAAACCTATAATATAAAAGAATAACATAAATTATAACGAACTAAAAACAAACATTATCAAATGAAATCAGAAAAAAAAGCCTTTATAGGATGAGACAACTTGAATTGAATTGAATTGGTTTGGTTTATTGAAAAATCACATCAAACAAGCAGCTCGCAGGCTGAAAATGTTAAATTTACAAGCAAATTAAAAATATAGAGAGATATAAACATATACAAAACTAAATAAATATTATAAGTCAACCTTTGCAGAAATAATTTAGCATTGGTATAAAGATGAAATCGAAATTGCAAAACAAAGTTATAAGTTAAGTCTAATGTAATAATATACTTTCATGTTGAAAGACCAAGACGGTGGGAAGGAGAGAATAGAGAAGAAAAAATGGAAGTTGTCTGAGCGAAAGAGTTGAGAAAGTATTTAACAATTGCTATACAAACATTTCTATTACAAAAATTTAAATTAAGCATTAAAAAAACGTATTAGATGAGATGAAATTAAATCGTAAAAATCAAAATGACAGTCTCTATTGTCATAAAAGCATCTGTAGCATTTCGAGATGTTTGATTATACAGTGCGTATATTATAAAAGTGTACCCAATTTTGGTAGCTCCTAATTAAAAAGTCATAACCAAT